GTGCCAGCCGTCGGCGGAGGCTCTTGATGGTGAAGCGGCACAATGCCCGCACGAGCCGGGGTTGTCGATAGCCTCCTGGGCGTGTTCCAGCCCGAGGCAGGACGAGCAGACCTGGTGTGAGTCTGTGCCTGATATCTTCAACCCGCAGCCGCAGAGCCGAGCCTCCGAGTCCCTGACTCCTCTGGTGTGAGGGAGAGAAGCGTCCATCTCGTTCGCCGTGGTGACGGCGTGGAGAGGACCCGCTCGTAACAGGTACGTTGCTGAGAAAAAATCCTTCCCCACCTGTCGTTAATCCGGAGAAAAAACGACTGTGTAGAATTTTATTCTCAAAGAATATTAACTGGTGTGTTAATACCCTTTTTATCTGGTGTGAGAGAGAAAAAGAAAAAACCGTCCCCGCTACCTTGGTGTCGGTAGTGAGGAAAGGCAAGCTAGTAACAGGTGTGTTACCAGCTTGAAAAATCTAAACCTTACCTTTAATTCCGAAGAAAGAAACGGCGAGGTAGATTGCAACACTAACTGGTGTGTTAGTATTAACAGTCTTCTTGCAGAAGTATATATAGAAGTAGCCGGCGAGCGCCCGTCGACCGAAGTTAGCTTGGATAGCTTGGTTCCGTCTGTGGACTGTGTGAGCTAGCCCGGCTACCAATAGAGATGTGCTCTGAAGCGAGAAGAGGTGTTTGAATGATGCATGCGGCGTAGCGCAAGCTACTTATAGGGGGTAGATTCCCTGACGCTGACGTCAAGATCACCAGCCAATCAGGATTGGCGTAATGAGATTGATGCTTCTGTTTGCTCCGCGATGAGGCGCATCCCATAGTGAGACATCGAACGGAGTGTTACGAATGAGAACTATGTTATAACTGGTTTATAAATGGTTCTTAATGATTAATAAAGTGTTTACAACCTAATTCATAACCTAATTATAAACCCTTTATGAATCCTTTATAAGGGTAGTCTTATTGTAAAGTGGTACCCATTTTTTTTGTGGATAAAATGAATTAAAAAAAATTAAATTGTGAGCTTTTTAGGTTCTTGGTTGGATTTTTTCTTGTAACTGTTTCTGATATGTCTTTATGTAAAGATAAGACAGTGGGCTGTTGGCCGTAGCTTCATAATTTAGCATGTAAAAGTTGGTGTGAGTGGTGTTGATCCAATATTCTGCCAGAAAGCGAATAAGCATATTTGTCATATAAGTGTTCCTTTCCATTTCCCAGAAACCTTTGTTTAACTTCTTTTAATTCTCCTCTTTTTTTTCTCTTTTTACAACCTTAAAATGTATAAGCTGTATTTTGTTTCATCCATTTACCTTAAAATATTTCACTAAGCTTTTTCTCCCTCTTTCCTCGCCTTCCATCTGCTCTCTTTCATTGTATACCGCATCATCAACATCTATGTCAATCTTTTAATATCTTTTTATTTTACATCTTTTCTTGTTGGCTTTTTTTTGCAGGACTTTGTAATGTGGTATTTCAACATTGTTGTATTGGAACCTAGTACTTCCTCCAACCCAGCTAAATTGTAAGTTGCAGTGTCTTTTGAGAGTCATTATTGTATTTTTTAAGGAGATGTATTGCTGAGTAGACAGTTGCAAATGAAATCCTCTTCTTCACAGACTCCAAACATACCCTCCATTTGGCAGCGCAGTTTCTCAAAGGCCTCTGCAGTGGCCTCTGCAGTGGCCTCATCGTCGTGTGGGAGCTCCTCCCCGGGGGGGAATGAGTCGGGGCTGGGACGATCCGACAGGCAGCTCTCTGAGGAGCACTCGTCCCCCCCCCCCTGCTGCTGCCTGTACAGGTGGTGCTCCACCATAAACTGAAGCTCTGTGAGGAGAGACGTGGAGATAAGAGAGGTGAGAGATCAGGGAAATACAAGTTGGTTGGGAGGAAAGCGTTGATACAGGAAGGAGAGGGGAAGATCAGAGGGTTAAGGAGTGGATGGAAGAAATAGTGGAAACTGAAAGTGAAAAGCACCAAATCATTTGGGAAATGTTTGTAGAAGAAGGAGCGAGACAGGAAACTGGATTAAGAGGGAAGGGAACTCATGGAATAGACGGGGTATGAACAGTAGACATGAAAGAGAGATGGAGGTGGAAATCCAACACTTAAACAAAATATTGTAGGTTAAGCATTTGAATAAACCAGCAAAGTTTAAACAACACCCAGCTGTTTTGGGGGAAGGTACAGATACATCAGAGTTTAATTGCACTCTTGTACCTCATTCATCCACAGTTTGTTATTCTCCCTACAGTGTGAAACTAAAGTGAAATGATTATCACCCTGATTTCCTTTAAGAAGTGACTCATCACACTTGGAGCTGTTCATTAATTAATTATCATTTTAGCGCCTCAGATTTATGAATTGTTCCTTTGCTTCTGTAGTTTGTTTGAACTTATTTTTCTGAAGCCCTGCATAAATTAGTAAATTCTGTATTTGTACTTAATTGGAAATTGATACTGAAGATAATATTTGCAAACGGCCTACAGATTTTATTCCAGTAGTTAATCTCTTATCCGGCTTTGTGCATTTCTTTGGTTTGTACTTCGGGTTTGCTTTAGGTGGGCAGGGTATCAAATGCCCTAATCTCAAACAGGCCCACTTGTTTAGTTAAAGACATGAACATTTGGACATATTCTTGTTAGGCGATAGGGGATAATAAGTCCTTGCTGAGGCAATTGAAGCTCTAATTGGCTTGAGGTAGAAATCGGACACTCAGGGTAAACCAGACTTCCATTAGCTCAGCTTCTCTTAATAAGTTTACATTTCCTGACATCTGATACTTAGACTCTTATTGGACATACTAGCTTTGTCCCATTAAAGATAGGTTGGCCTTTATAAAACGTTTTTCTTAAAATACTATTGACACTGCATTACGTATGACTTTTGGTTTTTCGCTTTATATTTTTTTATGATTTTCCGGCTGGTTATATAATTTGGATTCATCATATTTTTATTCAAGATGTCTCTTCCAAGTTTTATTTTTAATTTGAACATATGCTCAATTTGACCTGACATGCGTGACTTTAGTATTTTGAATAAAGACAGCTGCCTTAATCATCACCACCGTTTTCTAACCAGGTTTCTATATTTATTGAGATTGAACACATAAAATGTCAACATCACACATAAAGCTAGGTGACCGACTCTACCTTTCATGGTAGGGTTTCCCTTTTGCCCTTTTCTCCGTTGTCGAGGGGAGTTCAACAAGGCTGCCTGTAAAACATCAATGTTTTAAATCAGCTGGACAGAGAGCACTAAGATGAAGGAGATTATTTCAATACACAGTGAACTAAGTTAAAAAAGGACAAGACAAAAATAACTTGCATAATTATATTTCTCTAACCTTATTCCACTAAAATTGACCCTCATGGAGCATGAATTAAATTACCTTGTACAACTGGTTTGGGAGACGATCTTCATCGATTTCTGCAAGAGAGCAAACAATCAATAAGGACAATAAGAGACAAAAAATAGGGGATTTAAAGCAAAAACTGAATAAACAAGTTGACATTGGGCAGACTGAATAATGTGAATAATAGTCAGTGTAGCTGCTGTGTCTCCAGAGAGCGAAGGTGACCTCTTGCCAGATGGTTTTCTGACACACTGAAGCCAGTGCACTAAGTGTTTTCTCATATCTTATCAAGCATGGTGGGCAGAATTATGTTTTTTTTCATACTCAGCTCTTAGATGAGTGACAACTTACTCTTTTTGTTTGCAAACAAAGAGGATGCTAATCCACTCATCTTTTTAAACCCTCTCATGCAGCTGACTGCTGATGATTAAAACAGTAATACAGTGTTTATTCCAAACTCCCAATGGGAGAGTAGGTGTGTAGCATACTGAAATACAGTCTGGGGCTTATTTGATTTACAGTCAGTTGGCAGTGTTTAGGTACACTTGGCTAAAACAAATACAACAGTTCCTTCATGTCACGCTGTACTGTAAGTGTTTCTATTATTTTGTCCAGCCTATTTATATCACTGAGGGTAGGCTAAAAAATCCTCTCTATGTATTGCAATACTGTTTTTTGGCAGTATGTCTGCATTCATTTTGGATAGGTTTACCGATACATGATTGCAAGTTAAAGCAGTCATGTACTTTTTTAGCTAAAGAAGGAAACTCCCACATGATGCTACACCCACGTAAAGCTCATGTGACTCCCACTGGATAAAGATTTATCATCCGTAGTCGATATGTGAAACAGGACTCTGTGTTCACTATATGAGAGGACTAAAATAGAAACATAAAGACAGTTGACTGGATTACAGTGAAACCATTAACCGCGATCAGTAGTGATGCGTTGAACCTGCAGCCAACTCTGCCTTTTCAGCCTCGTAACTTTTTTCTAGGACACAACCGTGTTGCTTGGCAACCTATGCATCCCCAGGCACTAGGAAGGCACTGTGAGTGTGTGAGTGTGTGTGTGTGTGTGTGCATATATTATTTCTACTTAAAAGTATGCGCAAGGCTGTTCGAAATGCCAGTGATGTGCTTGTTTCTTTATTCATCTCTCTCTCTCTCTCTCTCTAGCGCTCTCTCTCTTTCTCTCTCGAGCTCTCTCTCTGCACCAAACACAAACCCAGCGGTATATTAAACCCTAACACTAAAGTCGTTCATTTAAAGAGGGATTCATCTCTATGCGCCGCGTGTTTACAGCAACGCTCGAAACTGAATCTTATGTTCAGCATCTCCCGGGAGTTCATACAACCATTATGGATCTGGGTTCAAATCAATCCCGGGAAATGGGCCATTATTATCCTTCAAGTTACAGAGTCAAGCTTAAGACTTGTCATCTGGTATTTGACACCAGCTGCCAAACTATATAACTCTGAAATTAGAGTTTCTCGCAAGGAGTGCCAAAGTTAGTTATTTGCAAAAAGACAGCATAATTTGTATCTTTGTAATACACAAAGAAAAAAAATGATTGTACACTTTCATTTAAATAAAAAAATGAACCACACTTGTTTCTGTATATGAAAAGATGCATGTGTATCAAGTATATGCATAATATTCTTTAGAGTAGGTAGATTGTAGGATACATTTTTATTGTATACATGCCATTGTTGTGTAGTGATCATTGTTAGCGTATTAAGTTGTAGTTTAAACTTCACTTTTTTCATTGCTTTAATCAGTTTTTGACATTAACAGATCATTAGCTAATAATTTTTTTTTTTTTTTATTGTATCTTCTTGTATGAATAATATATAGCAAACCCGTTCCCCTCCTGTAATGGTAGCAGTTTTATCTGCAGTTTTATGAGGCTTTTAAGTACCACTGAGTAAGAGAGTAATTGTAATTAAAGTACAAGGTGTGTTGACCCTAATAATGAACTTGGATCAATATACTCCAGATAGGGACATAACAGCTTATTACAGTAAGCAGCTGTTCTTTCATTTAAAAAACAGACTTTGTTACAACTGAGAGTAGTGGTAACAGGAGCAGTAGTAGATAACATACTTGAAATATCATTTGGGTCACAAACATTAAATTGGGCTTTCACACGGCAGATTTTCAGATTGTTTTCTTTGTTTATCGAGCCCATCTGTGCTGCACAATGAGAGAAAAGAGGCTGTTCCAGCAGTGATGAGTCTATCACTGCAACTCCCAGCGGACTGGCTGTCTGACACAAAGCCAGATGAGAACAGAGACACTCTTCTGACTCCTTATTCAGCCAAGGCGCTCTAATTTGGCTGCCTGAAGCATGGTGTCAATTTATATTTTCAGTCCTGCAGTCTTGCATTTAAAATAGGTGTTACTCTTTTGATGTTGTTTACTGTGGCTGTGCAAAGGGCAAAGAAATGGTCCATTTGCACAGCATTGTGTTTAAAGAAGCAAGATCTTTAAACACAGACTTCATATGTTCAACAAGAGCAAAGAATTACAAATGCTAATCATGTTAGTGCCTGTAGTTGTAACTAGAGACTGTATTTGTGTGCAGGGCTGACAAGCTGCAGCTGCTACTTTTGCTTGAGGAAGGCAAGCATACAGTATTATTGACAACAAATGTCCTCTTGCACATGTACATTAAAGTTACTTAAAGATTTAGAAAGATGAAACAGCAGTTTGCTTGGCAGAAGAGAATCAGATATAATCAATGCAGCATACATTTGAAAATAAATGAACACTTTCATCATACATTTAGTGTAAAACACATCCATACATGTATCAATGCCAATACGACGCTATTTGAAATGATGTAACATCTACTTCAATTCTTTATATGCCAAAGTGTTTCAGATGGCCGTGCTCGCCCCTCCACAGAGCTGCTGCTGCTGGTGCCTGTAGAGATGAAGCGTCTCACTGTAAGAACACAACTTAACGTGATCGTTTTCTGAGCCATTAGTAGTTTTTCATGTGTGGTGCACTGCTGCAGCTCATCAGGAAATGCAAATACCAAAACAGAGGCTAGTCATGTTTCAGGTTGTATAATAAAATACCTTTTAAAAAGTGTTTTTTTATCTTGAAGACCTGACTTTTCCTCGTTAGGGAAGATCAAATCAGACCAATTCTAACATTTTCTGATTCCTCATTATTAAGCCCATAGCCTGCTTTTAAGTTGCCTGTACATCTGGTGCTTTACTCAGATGTGCTATTAGGGTTCATAGTGCACAGGACAGAGCAATCGGCAGGGCTCTGTCTCATGTGGAGCACACCATTACTGCACCAGCACATCTCATCTCCATCATCATCATCATCATCATCATCATCATCATCATCATCTCTTCCTCCCAATCCCCCTTCTCTCTCACACTGTCTGGGTCTCTGGTCGATCTCTGTTTCAGATTTGATGCTTGATTGTTTTTGTCTTCAGAATATTTCCATGGCATGGCTTTTTTGAGACGCACTCAAGATTCATCTCAGTGCTAGAAGAAATAAAAATAAATTAAAAATAAAGAAGTCCGACGACTTTCTTCTAGCAAACATGTTTTACCGTCACCAAAAATCTGAAAATAGATTCACTTAGTTTGGATAAATGTATCAATTCCAGACAGGAAACTGTTATAGTTGCACTGCACAATGAACCCTTACAAAAGAGATGTTTGTTTTTAAAGAAATTCAATCTAAAGATTAAAGAATTGTTGTCTTTTAATTTATTTTCAGGCAGAACACAAAACAACAACAAATAAGGGACAGAGTTAAGTTTAAACCTTGTGTAAAATGAATATGACCTAATATATATATATATAATTAAAATAAACATCCTCTTTTCTTGTAATCTTCTATACTTTTTCTCAGTTTATTTTTTCCAATGCCTTCCCTTCTTCAAATAGATCTCTACTTAATGTTAATGTATCTTACTGTAAGTCTCTTCTTCTTTTCTCTCTTCCAGCCTCTGATGTACTAAGCAGGCAGGATTGTTGAGGGTGTTCTCTGCACTTTAATGCAGAGATCAAGGTTGACTGTGAGACACTCCACAAGCTCAGAGTCCAATTACTGAATCAATCACAGACACATGTAGTCACACTCACACGCAGAGACACACATTAAGCAAACAGATCCCAGGAAATAATCACACCCAATTAGAAGGACAGTTGTTTTCAAGATAAAAAAACACTCAACTCTCAGATATAAAATGATGTGAGTTATATATTATGCCGTCTTTGCTGGTATGCTCAAGAATGCTTCAAATTTTCAGTAAGTCATAAAAAATACCATCTGTTTTCTCACCTTGGGAAATGTACAATCACCGCCTTATCTCAGCAGCTTATCTTCTATTAATTTGGGTCACATTACACACTCATGGCAAAGCACAGCAGCGGCAGGCAGAGAAGCACGGAACCACAGGATGACTCATAAAAGAAGATACATCTTGAAAGGGGCACGGTTGTGTTTGATCATTACAATCCCATGAGAGGACACACACACACAGCTGTTTTTGTTGCTCTAATGCAGCAGGAGAGTTCATTTTCTGCATAAATGACTTCAGATGCTGCATCACAGAAATACAAATAAGAAATAGAAATGTCTGAAATATTGTGAAGCAAATTGTGGCTAACTTGTTGTTGTGTGGTGCTTGGTTAAGAATATATTTGCTATTCTGTCTGTATGCTCACTCACCAGTAGGTTTGATTTAAACCTTTGATCATTTGGAAAAAATAAGACTTTATCAATTCGACCATGTCCTCAGATTGTAGCAAGTAACTGAGAACGGAAATCCAAAACAGATGATATCCAAATAAAAGTATGTGATCCAGGCTTTGAGATATAGAATGCAAATCAATACAAAGACCTTACTGAGGGGGGGTGTGTGTGCTTGCATGCGTGTGTGCCTTACCAGGTGATGATTGATCACTGGATGCCACTAAAGTGGCAGGTGTGGGTCTGCGTCTTCTGATCTGAAAAAGTAGAACAGTTTGATTTTAAGTGGGGAAAAAAACTATTTTTATCACAAATGTTTGCCGATATAACAGTAGAGCTTTCTGAACCAAAAATCATCCTATAACTTTGCTCGACTAGCTTCTGCTATAGTCGTTAAGTTTGAAGTGAAATATTGACTGATACAAATCTGAAGCACTTCCAGGCTGTAATTTCACACCAACGTTAACCTGTAATGGGTTATATTAACCAAACCAATCAAAATGATTAACAGTGCTTTGAAATGTGCACTTTTGCATTGCTCAGCCAGTCAGTGAGAGTGTAGCCCTGCTCCCTGGTACCAGGCCATATGACCAGCTCAGCATCCACTTTCTCTCATGATGCTGGCAGCCCATAACAAAGACTGATCCATAATTGTGTCTTGTTCTCTGTGAAGATGCCTGAGCTGTTTGAGCAGGGCTGGGTCTCACAGTGAGCGCAGTGCAGCCTGCCACCACCTATACAGCACTTGCATCATGGCTCATGACTAGTGGAGTGTGGCAGCTTTGGACTATTCTGGGATAACACATGAAAGAGCCTGAGTACTGCACTAAGTGGTGCAGAAGAGAGTCCAAACCTGCGGTAGAGCTGTTAGAAACACTCCAGGTAGATGTAAAAAATAAGAGTTATATAACCTTTAATTTGAAATGCAAACAGGCCAACATGTCTGTTAGTGTCCAAGATGGTTTTGGGTGATCTCAGGATTTTCTTAGTTTCAATTAAGAAAGTTGAATCAGGTCAAAAAGATTGGTGCCCGGATTGCTAATGAGCCTGAAGCATTCTACAACTTTAAAACGTGTTGAATTCAACCTGACCTTATTATTGTTGTTGCTGCTAAAACACCTGAATTTCCTTATGGGGATCAATGAGGGTTTATCTTATCTTATCCTATTTTATCTTATGTTTAACTCAAATAGAGAGAAGGGAAGTGAACAAATTAAGAAGAAAAGATAACTTAACCCTAACCAGGAGCAGCAGTAATACATTTTATATTGCTCCTATGCAACATAAAATCTGTCTGTCTCAAAACAAAAACATCAGCACCGTATGTCCCCTTGCCCGGTTTTTTGCAATAAGAATTGTCCAAAAATATGTCTGTTGATATACATTTATTTTTCAGTAATTGAAAAATACTTTCATCTACATTCCTGTAAAACTTCTCACCTTAGTCTTTCTATCAAAAAGCTTAGCACATCTGCATTTTTCAGATTTTTACTTTATTCTCCCATGATCTCAAATATATTTTGTATCACAGGGTTCAACAGGGTTGATGGATAGTTTTGCTGTTAAATAGGCCTCGTCAGGTTCTGCAAATGACAAATGAGATTGGTTTTGCATCTACGTCTCCAAAACTTTGCAACCAAATACTTTTTTGGGAGGAAAGGAATCCAGGATTAGGATGATTACTTTCCATTTTATTGCTATATAAACCTAAAAGGCCATGATATAGGGATTTAGATAGAAAGTCAATACACACACACACACACACACACACACACACACACACACACACACACACACACACACACACACACACACACACACACACACACACACACACATACATAGCTGACAGGGTTGCTGACTAATGCCGGTTGGCATGCGAGGTCCAGTCCGCCATGCATCTTTTTCTAAATGCTGCTTGTGCATTTAAAAAGCTGTGTAGTGTTCTGTAGTCAGCCAGATAGTTTAACCTCCACCTTCACCGTGTAGCATCACATTGTATTTCATGATACGACGAAATCCGTTGAACTGTTTTCTGTCAAGATGACAAACTAAAGATAAAGGTTTGAGCTGTACTGTGAGTTTACAATGCAAATCAAATAGATACGAGTCCTTTAGTGGCGGGGACATTTCAAGATCAATGTATTACAAAGAGACAGAGGAGAATCAGCTAGTGTGCATGTTTGACTTTGAGGCTTTGCTTTGCTCAACAAAATGTGTGAGGAAACCTAAAACGCATATAACAAAAACATTACATTAGACTCTGCAGGATGAATTGAAAAATCAGCAGTCAGTGTTTCAAATGCACAGTCTTATTGCATATTCAGATCATAAGAGCCTTCATATTCACTACGTTTTAAATCAGACGTAGAGTACAGGAAGGAAGTGTGAATAAGAAGAGGCAATGAGTGACTTTTCTTTAGCAGGCAGAGATGTTTTACAGCTTTTGACATTTATCCAAAGGGTTTGCATGTCAACTATTCAGGTTCCTCTTGGCGCTGCTGCCTTTCGGTATCCGATGCTATTGTTAATATCTCTCGGAGTAGGTCTGTGTTTATGTCGACATAAACATAGGGAGCATGCTCAATTGCTCAAGCTGCATTTGCACCTGCATCTTCACCAGAAGTGGGTGGTGGTGGTGGCGAAGTCCATAGGGACTTGGCTTGGCAACTAGAAGGTCAACAGTTCAAGTCCCGGCAAGACCAAGTGCTACCGAGGTGTCCCTGAGCAAGGTGCCGTTCCCTACACTGCTCTCCGGGCGCCGTTCATAATGGCACTAGGCACTAGGACGGGTCAAATGCAGAGAAACCATTTCATTACATAGTACCTGTACTGTGTAATGACAATAAAAGTGCAAAAAAAAAGAAGACAGTGTAAATGCAAATACATCCCCAGCAAATTGGTGGCAACCATGGGCAAAAAAAAACAATTATTTCATATGATTCAGCTATATGCACATTACTTAGATAGTAAACCAAGATGAGGTACTAAATTGACACCACTGTCCTTTTACTGTCTCCATGTTTGAGTGTCACTGTTTATTTTAACAGAGGGCACCATTTTTCTATACACGTAAATTACATTTTTACTGGGGAAACAAAATGCAATCTCAAGTAATGACTGGAGTTGCCTTTGCGTAACACGGTAATGGCAGAACACCTGAATGTAACACACTAACATCTACAGCCCTGATTATTTATATACAGCTTCAAGTATCTTTTGAAAATGGTGATCCTAACAATCTACCTATTTTTACATAAACATTTATCAGTAATCAATCACTTCAAAACTGACTTCAATCAAACCACACCAGTCTAAAATATTTGTCATTGGCCAGGTTTAGTCTTTACAGCTGTATCACATCAAAGAAGAATATTACATATGCCTGTGCTTTGCAGTGCTGGATTCAAGGTTATTGACCTCCCCTGTGGGGGACACATGGGGTGACACTACGGTTATCTCTAGGTCCTGTGTTACAGGTTTGTTTGCCAGCGTTTTTTTTGTCAGGTTTTTCTGTTGTTGTTGTATACTATAAATCCATGTCCTTATATTTAAGCCATGTGTATGTGTTTTGTTGCTGTTCTTGAAACCGTCTCAAATCAAAGCACAGCGAGCCATGGCTGTGTACAACTGATTATGCCTGGAGTCATTGTTATTCTCCTCAGCTGGCAGTAGAGCAAACTCCCTGCTCCTCCCTCACACAAATACCACCGCTCACTGGACAGGCCCACCGCTCAAACCACCATGCCTCCCTTTCAACCCACTGACCATTTAAAATGCAGTTCCGTCACTTATCGCAACAACGAACAAAAACAGCCTTTGAAAGTGATGGGTGGGCAGGGAGAGCTATGCATGCTGATATTCATGTGTGCGGCAGCAGACAAAATGCCCTTGGCTCGAAAATATAGGTCAAGTCAAGCGAGAGTCAAAGCCCTGTTTCATATTTAACACTCATGCTTGGTTGACATTGGCTTTACCTCTGAATTGTTTCGGGCCACACAAACTCCAATGCAGTCTGTACAAAAGAATATTTGAAGCAATTTATTTAGCCTAAAATATTTTTGGGGGGGAATTTTTCAGGGACCTTTAAATACTACGTTAAAGGTCCCTGAACACTAATCACATATATGAAGCTTATGAACAACCTTTGCATTTTCTCATACTTGCTGGAGTCTCTTAAACCCAGAACAGATCTTATGTTTCATGTAAACTTTTGAAACATGGCATAATTGTATAATTAGGATTTTAAGCACTTTTTTGTAACTATCTGAAGTGTGTGTTTTGAGGCCAGGATGTGCAGCAGCACCCAACAAAGAACATGCACTTGTCCCAGTGCTGATATTTAACATTCTAGTTGTTGTTTTGTACTGAATGCCCACTATCATTAACTTAAATCCAGTGGAAGTTAATTAGCAGTGTTGCTGGAGCTACAGCTATTGTTCAGGCTTTCTTACTTGAAGCAGATTTGTCACTAGGAATCATTTTTTTACCGTGAAATAACCAAACCTAAAGCTAATGGAGGTAAAAGAGGTTTAAAAATAAGGTCAAAGTGTGCTCTGGGAAATTCTGACGTGTAAAGCCTTTACCTCCTAACCCTGTTCATCCTTTGAAAAAATCAGTGGTCATTTTGTAATACTTGTGCTATCAGTGTTGCCCTGTGACCTTCATTATAACAATGTGTTTGCACCAGTCAGCACCATACATCAGAAAAAAGGCATTCACACCCAGTAAATTGCTGCAGGAATAAAGGTTAAAGAAATCTTTCCCACACCTTGTTATTAGGTTGGCTGAAGCAGTACGGAGCTGTCAGAGACTCACTACAATGCACAGACACATAATCATGTGATTTCTCATTCTGTCATTGGAAATATGATCGTTGAATTGTTCAGGCTTAAAATCTCACAGACTTCTCCAACGGTGGTCTTTCTAGCTGAATGCTTTCATTAGGGAATTCACTGTCTTCCAAGGACATTGAAAACCCGGATCAGTGACATCCACTTTATTTTATCTCTGTTTTTTGGTCCTCTATCTCCCCGTCATTTTCTATGAATCCTTTGTCTTCCCATCCTGTAACAACCCTCTTATCATCGTCTCTCAATGAGTATCATACTACCAGCTACATTAGGGGAGCAGAGTCAAGTGGCAATGCACCCGCTTTAACAAAGGCAAGAAGCGGCATTTTATAATAAAATAAACTGTTCAATCAGGGGTTGACATTATTTTTTTAATGAATGTAGCCTGCATCTGCTCAGGCCTG